TAATCCGACCTCACCAAACCCTTTTAGTGGAAGACACCTCCTAAAATTTTGGTTAACGTTTCATGAGATGGGCTGGCCGCAGTAGCTCATCCAACGGATGTGCTATCTCATGTGATGTTAGCCAAAATTACGAAATGCATTTTTGATTCCAAAGATCATTCAAGTAGAGTTGTGGCATTAATTATCTCGATGCATAAACTTATTTCAATCAGGCCAGTGTGTCGGCCTTTGAACTAGCTTTTCCTAACTGCTGGCAATAAACTATACCTGTAAAAATGAGTTCATACGTAGTATGATTGTTCCCATTGATTTTTGATAACTGTGGTTCCAAATATGCTTCGTAGAAAACATGCATTGAAATGTTCTTTCACCTCCTTAAATTCTATGCTTATCAGTTCCTAGACGCAGATAGGAAGGAGGCCCGACCGCTAGAACGAGAGTTTAAGTCGCCTAGCGCATCCGATTTAGCGCAGCCTGAGCTAAGGTTGATATTCTCACATGTATTGCCATCCTGGTAGAAGGCAGTAACCATGCCGCTGCATGTCTCTCACAATTAGCAACTCCCGTCGTTGGTAGTTGCAATCGCATAAATCGCGCTGGTTATTGGTGACGGGCTCGAGCGAGAGTCCCAAGACCCAACGGGACGAGTGAGTTCTGTAACGCGATCGGTACGCGCCCTACACCAATCTAGAATCGACCAAATGATCATCTGGCTCAATCAAGTAATGAGTGTTTTTGCAGGTTTTGATTGTTATCTGACTCATTTGCGAAAATTCGGCAGCCCCGATTGGATTCGAATCCACCTGGCAGACATCTGATGGATTGCAGCCTGATTGCTTTGGAAATCCTGTCTGCGCAGTCAGCCTACTGTTTCAGAATTGGTGGATTCAATGCGTTTTAGTAGGCTGAAAGGGTAACTTTGCCAAGTGGGATTAAATTCGTGGTTCCCGGTGGCGCCTGTGGCTAAGGTGGTTATAGCGTTAACTGTACTCAAGCCTCGCCCTTCCTGCCAAGGGTTCGACCCCCATCGATGCCGCCGACTTTCTTATAATTTGAACAAATAAAAATAGTTCTGTTAAATTAACGCTAATTTTTTCACTACACATTTTATTGTATTATATTCATATTAATTAGGCAAACATAACTCTACTATGAAACCTCCTGCAAATATCTTAAAAGCACTTTATGAAAGCAAGAGTTATTTTTGAAGAATTCTCTAAAGGAAAATCAGTTTAAAACCTGACGACTGCTTACATCGACACTTGGAGACCGATAGTAGAAGGCGCTCATAACGATTCCCTACTTAAGGTTCGGAGGTAGCTAAGAAGTGAATTGTCTTTTGCTGATGCATCCACTCTCAGGCATTGAGATGCCAACGTACGGTCACTATGGTAACTGTCACGGACTCCTGGCAGAGGAGAAATGGAACAACAGAGGTAAATTAAACGAATACTAGTGACGGGGTTTGCCAATCCCTCATCTTTGTAACACTTCTGGCTTAATTTAGCTACTGATTGGTTTAAGTACAGTCGGAGTACGGACAAGTGCAAGATGACCTTATTGCCTCCGGCAAATGCATGATAACATTGGGCGTAGGATTATTATTCGTAAATGGGACAATAGACGTCATATGTGCACATGCGTCTGAAGTCTCCCAAGACACTTCACTGTCTGTCAAAATTTCATACAAAGAGCTCAGTTGCCGTTTAATGGAAACCTCTAAAGGCAATTTAATGTGGTATCAATTGGAAGATAACTTGGTTCAATCCTTGCAGACATTTTTACATCTCACCTGGATGAAAGATGACCAATTCAATTCAAGCAATTAGGTGATAAAATCGTGGTTGCTCAAGGCGAGGGCGACGTTAGGGAGTCTTTTTGTAACTTAAAACAGCCTACATTTCAATATTAAATTCACTATTGAAAGGCAACAGGACAACGAGCCGTCTTTCTTGGACATCCCTTTGTATAGGTAGGAAGGTGGTTTTAGCAAACGACGCGCGGAAAACCCAATATCTGCATCCCATAAGTTGTCAGCCGAGAGATTGCAAATAAAACCCTGTATACAATTTTCCAAAGACAGAAAAAAACTTGCGTACTTAAAAAATCAGACTTCGAACTTGTTCGTCCTTAAGTACCCGTGGTTAAACGTAGGTATCTCGCCCATTTCGTCAAGATATATGGTACTAGTTTTTTCTCGTTCCGAAATTGCCCTTACTAAAGTCTTTGCTATTTGAGGACAACAGTGAACGGACTAACAATGAGGCCCAGTTCATGTTCAGCAGTCCTAATGTAACCAATTCAATTTAAAAGACATAGAATGTGAACCTATTAATTCACGCTTGCTTGTTGGTGCGAATGTGCTTGACGAACGCCAAGGCGACTGGCAAATAATTAGGCTGAACACTTGCTTAAATGCATTTTAAAGTTGGTAAACTAAACGCCCGGCCACATATTGTACCCTTTGTTAAGTCACGATGAACCCCACGGGTCCACGCTCGTGCACAGAAAAAAATACCTATGGAGAGAAAAACCGGAACAAAACAAACAAACGGACCATTTGGTAAATCGGACTATGCCCCGATTTAAACACTCCCTTGGCCATCGTTATCTTTTTCTCTCTGTTGTGTTTTTAGACAACCCTTTCATCGTATAAACCTTAATTTAGAACCATAACCTGGCCAATTTCATGTCCATTTTTTGAAAACATCAGAATCCTGTGCACCAATTGGTCTTTTTTATTTTATAGGTGTTAGAAAACAATTTAAGAGCAGTCGCGAAATTTGTCATTCTTCAAAAATCCCCGTGCTTCTTTAATTAAAACGCATAACGGAAATACAATATTTTAAACAACGTTCTGCTCTTTCAAAAACATGCCGCTATGGGATATACAAATATGGGATATGAACCAGTGATGACCTTGTTGAGCATAACACTGATGCCAGAAGTTACATGATCGGCATCACTGCTTCTTTTGCTCCAAACAGATGAAAGCAGCACCTCCTGCAGCGTACAGCTAATAGAGTTAGGCAAGTTACCACTAGACGGAATAGTTAGGTCGATCCCTACATAAATTTTTGGCTGTCCATTTGAATAGCTCCTGTGAGGGGTTCGGCTCCCAACTGAGTCCCCTAGCGCTCCCTGTCTTAGTTTCTAGTAATAGAAAACCCAGATAAATATCAAACTAATAATTTCAGAAATTATTAATTGCAGGACTTGGAGCTAAGTGTCCGAGACACGGCTTTTTAGGGCTGTCATGAAGTTTCAACGAAAATTTGAACCGAAGACAATCATCTTCTGCGGAATAACTGCGCAATTTTCATTCATTCTGATACTAGTATAATCTTATACGGTGGTAATTCACATCGTACGCTCAGACACATTTTGCACTTGAAAAAGAAGACACGATCGCCGGGACAAGAGCTTTATTAGCCTGACGTTTCCGACTCCTGCTCGAATCCATCATCAGAGACAAAATCAGATAAGGGTGGTTCATGCATATGCGCTGCAGTATTTATAGGATGCAGTAGCCATGCTACCGCATACCTATGAATATTCACGGCTACATCGTTGCACGTGGCGTGATGGCCGATATTTGCGTCGTTAATTCCAGCAATTTCATCACGTACGTTGAATGTTGGCGTGATGATTGCTCGACCATCTGACGCGCTGACCGGGGTGTTGGGAACAGTGTTCATCAGGGCGCTCCCCGCGTAGCCAATTTCTCCGCCTAGACGAAGTCTCAGCACGGAGTACTGAATGGGAAGACCATTGCACGTATTAATATCCCGGGGGCCAGTAAACCATGACTCAAACAACTCCCGGTTCACGCGGTTGTCACCTCTTGCGAGAATTTCGGCCTCGTCAAATTTGGATGTGCGGCCGAAATCCGTCGAATGAGCCGCAACTTGAGAGCTGGCGTCATTTCTCCGCGCCGCAGCAGCGTGTTCGGCCATTCGCTTTTGGAGTTGTCTTCCGGTTTCTCCGACGAAGTTGCTTTGTCCGCAACTGCACCAACTTCGATAAACGACTCCAGATGTGGCAGTGGATCTTCCGGTTTCATGATCAGACGCCTGATGGTTGCCTCCGGTCTGTGTGCCACTCCAACCCCAAGTGGTGCGAGAAGGCGGCCGACAGCTTCCGAAACGTTCTTGACATACGGAAGTTCCCGCCAAGACTTGGTTTCCGTGCGGTTAGGCCTTTCGTCCCTTTTGCGTATGCACCGGTCGACGAAGTTGCGCGGGTAGCCATTGGCTTTGAAGACCCGTCGGAGGTATTGTAGTTCAGCAATTTTGTCTTCCGGCTCACTGCAGTGCGTTTCGACACGCCGATAGAGCGTCCTTACACAACTGCGTTTGTGGCTGATTGGGTGGTAACTGTTGAAGTTCAGTACTTGCATCGTATTTGTCGCTTTCCTGAACACTTTGGTCTCTAGTCCACCACAATCCTTGCGGCATACGAGGACATCCAGGAAGGCCAGCTGGTTGTTCTCTTCCTCCTCCATCGTAAATTGTATGTCCGGGAAGACCGAAATCAGACGTTCCTTGAATGTCAGCAGTTGATCCCGGTCGATGACGACGAAGGTATCATCCACATACCGTGCCCAGGATTTCGGTCTGTGGTGTTGGAAGACCAGCGTCTCTAACCGTTGCAGGACCGCCTCGGCGATGAATCCCGAAATCGGCGAACCAATTGGTGCGCCCTTCACTTATTCGTAGATTGTCCCGTCGAGCGTGAAGTACGTCCTGAGACAGAGCTTCAAGAGCTGAAGGACTTGGGCGCGTTCAAGACGATTCTCCATTTCATCCTATTTGCTTTGTAGAAGCAACTTGATTGTCTCGATCGCCAGGTCCTGGGGAATAGAAGTGAAAAGGGATGTAACAGCAAAAGATACCATGACCTCATTTGGATGGAGGCTTACCCCTTTGAGTTTCTCCAGGAATTGTGCTGAAGAAGAGACCGTGATGTCTGACTCAGCGGTCAGGAACTTGAGACGCCGGAACAGCCACCTAGCCAGTTCGTAAGTTGGAGTCCCTTTGAGCGACACGATGGGTCGGAGAGGAGCGCCGTCTTTGGGCACCTTAGGGAGGCCATAGAATCGGGCCAAAGCCGTATATTGGGGTCGCCATGCGTCTGTCGGTCGGTGTTATTGCACTTGAGTTCTCCAAAGCCAACAACGTAGCATGGATTTCGCGTGTCAGCACTTTAACAGGGTTCGTTGCATATGGGACATGGAACTGTCGGTCATCCAGCAAACCTTTGGCTTTTTGAAGGTAGTCTGTCCTGTCCAGCATAACCGTGGAGCACCCCTTGTCAGCTGGCACGATGACCAAGTCTTCGTCGCATCACGTTCGACCTTGGAAAGCACACCGCTGTCTGTGGGCCATTAGGAGAGACGACACTTGGTGTCGGATGAGGCTCTTGGTCTCCTCCGTTGCCTCCGTCTGACAAAGGATTGATTCCACTGCTGCAATCATGTTAACAGGTGTGGCGTCAGTCGTGTTGATTGAAGCTTCGTACCTTAAAACCTGCATCTGATCCTTCGTCAGCTCCTTTGACGACAGGTTGTGCACCAGTTTGTCGTTTCTGGGCGAAGTTGGATTGGCAGCTTTCGGAATTTGTTCTATAGTGCTGCGTCGCATATCATTCTCTGTTCGTGGGCTTGTTCAGCTATCCTCTGCAGGAGCAGATTTGTACCGATCTCGCCCATGAACTCACAGCATCTGGTCTTTTCTTGGTCAATCCTTTGACGGTACTTGCGAAGTCTCGCGTGGCAATCTTGGAGGAGCACTCGGATCATCCTTCTGCCATGTTTAAATACTGCTCGTCTCGCCAAGTCTGTGTTAACCGGGGGGCTTGTATGAAACACATTTCGGCAACACATTATTGTCGAGACACCTGTGCAGAAACCGGATCCGCGTATACGTGGAGACCTTCCGAAGGGCGAAGGTTTCCCATCGCCGGGCCGATTGGAGCGCATCGCGCCCAGACACATTGCCAATAGAAGCGGAGACGAGTCCCAGGAAGCAGTCTTGAAGAAGAAGAAGAAGAAGAAGAAGACACGATCGTCGGGACAAGAGCTTTATTAGCCTGACGTTTCCGATTCCTGCTCGAATCCGCCATCGGAGACAATAGCAAAAAAGGGTGGTTCATGCATATGCGGCTGCAGTATTTATAGGATGCAGTTGCCATGCTACCGCATAACTGTGAATATTCGCGACTCCCCCCTTCATCAGGGATCGATGCCCGTGGCGTGATGGCCGACATTTTCGCTGTTAATTGCTGCAATTTCATCACGTGCGTTGGATGTTGGTGTGATGATTGCTCGACCATCTGAACACTCTTACCAACGCCCCGGTCAGCGCGTCAGATGGTTGAGCAATCATCACACCAACATTCAACGCACGTGATGAAATTGCTGGAATTAACGACGCAAATATCGGCCATCACGCCACGTGCAACGATGAAGCCGTGAATATTCATAGGTATGCGGTATCATGGGTACTGCATCCTATAAATACTGCAGCCGCATATGCATGAACCACCCTTTTTTGCTATTGTCTCCGATGGCGGATTCGAGCAGGAGTCGGAAACGTCAGGCTAATAAAGCTCTTGTCCCAGCGATCGTGTCTTCCTCTTCTTCAAGACTCGTCTCTTCGCTTCTATTGACATGTTGTACTGATGTCTTCGCCGCTGCATATTGCTATTGCAAGCGGTTCGGCTCCTCGTTGGGCCACCCAGCATTTCCTATGTTCGGCACCGTCAGTTCTACAGGAAGTTACTGCCAACAGCCAGGGTTTTGTTTGGATGCAACTTGATTGTTGAATTTGGCAGAACTGATCTATGCGGCCCCTTAAAAAGGGCATGGGAATAGGAATGCCCCGCCCAGGTTATAAGCGTGAACCTACGCATAATTCTCGAAAGGAAAAATATTCCCGTGCCCTAACCCCATCAATAACCCCTATGGAAATCTACACCGTCGCCTTGACCTTTACCCTAACCATAGGCTAAACGTTAACTCTGCAACTAATACTAACCCCTTCTTTAACCCGAAACTTGATCCTGGCTTACCGTTAACTTTTAATCTGGCCTTAGACCTATTCCTCTATTTAACTCTAATTTCACTGGAAGTCGGCTCAAAGCCGCCCATATTGCAGGCGTTTCCAGTTCTCATGTTCTGTTTTAGGGGGTACATAAGTTGGTCCTACCGTGAATTTATTGTAAATTATGGATATTTAGGTAGCCGCCAATAAGGAGATTTTACGTCTTTCTTAAATGAAGCATTTGGAGTGCTTTATTCATTCGTACCTCGAATGTACTATCACAAGTGTAAATAATTCACAAACTGAGACACTCGTACCCACCGAAATCTCGATTACACCTAATTGAACACTGTGTGCACCCATTCGCGACCTGCATAAACGCATGCTCATTTGTGAAATTCGTAACACTTAGCTTTAAAGCAATCAGATATCCAAAGGAAGTCAATGAAGGTGCCGTTCAAAGTGAGTGGGAGCCGAGTTAAATAAGTAAGGAAGTTGTGCTTCTGGTCCGGGTAATCCTAGAATAACAGACTTTCAAGTTGAGAAATTGCCGCGGATATATGATGATGCGGGGCTGCTGCCCATTCGACAGAGTAAGGGCAACATCGTCTCTTGAATCAATGCTGCTCGCCGGGTTTTCTCAGTCCTTCGAAAGCGCCCATCGCCAAGAAGATCCTTCCGGCCAATCCTATACGACTGAGTGCAGGACCTTGCGCCTGGAAGATAAGCGATAACTGGAAGAAACTAGAGGCATTTGATCATCGCTGCCTGAGGATCCTCCTTCGAGTGAAGTACATTGACTTCGTCTTAAATGAGGCAGTCCGCACTCGGCGCGACAATATCGCGAAGATATTTCGGGCCATCCAATAAAGATGACCGAGGTGGTTTGAGCACGTCCTTTGTCGTTTACCTCAAAAACCCAGTGTTACTACGCTCGATCTGGCGTCGTTGCCCACCCGGAGGCGTCGAAGAGGAGGCCAACTCAAGACCTGGCTTGGCATAGTTCGTACACACATGGCAGTGGTTCCTGGACCTTCGGTATTCGGTCTCGGTCGCTAGAGAAGAGGACGGCTCAGGCTGTCCATATCCGCTGCTCTAGATCGTCAGGCGTGGTACAATACGTGACACCACCGAGGCCGGCTACACCAGGTACACGTACAAGTAACTAAACAGTTCACGCGTGTCCACTTCTTTACGTCTTTTAATGCAATTCCCCGAACTAGGACTACTTTAGTGACTAGCTAACAGCTCCGCTTGGTTTTTCTTATTTCACTCCGGCTCATACACGCAGAGATGACAGTTCGACCATCCCAGACGACGAGGTCCACCGCGTTCCCCGCGGAATGGGACCGGTGACTTGCTCGAGATTCGATTCATGACGAGACAAATTTGCGCAATAACTGCCACCCTATCTCCTCTTTCGCCCATCGTACCATATGACTACGGCCGCGCAGTGACTGGCATAGCTGAACGGCAGATCCACGGGTGGGCTGGTCTGCACACAGTATATACCACGCTTCCAGGTGGGGCGGCTCGGATCTCGCATGGGGCAGAATGCAGCAGAGGCCACTCTGGGAAAAAGACACTGCTGCCTGAATCCCAGTCCTGAAAAGGGCTGAGTTATTCCGTGAGATGGCAACTGTTCAATCAACTACTCGACGCAACATGGTAGATTCGAGCGCATCGGCCTTACTATTAGTGTGGGAGGCGCTGGTGTGCCGTGAGGATGGAGTCTCCGGAATTGGCCTTACTGTTCCCTCTCGCATGAACCAGACGACTGTCTGAGACGGTCAATCAAGGACTGATGAGATTGAACGCAGGGTCTGACTCGGCCTAATGGGTTGCATCTAAGGCCTGCCACGGGCAGTAACTATGGGCTCGCACGGACACATCGCGGCACGATAATCTGTGCCAGAGGTCAGTCTGACACCCTTTTTGTTCCAACGCATCTGCGGCGCATCAAGGGTATCAGTTCCAAATCTCTCCCAAAATTGCTTTACAGGGAAAGTAGATTGTCAATGCGAATCCGACTGAATAGTCGCTGGCAGATACATCTTTTTCGACAATGCGAATCGTCGTGGATTCTCACTGTTCGAGGTCACGACCCGACGCGGAGGCCATGAATTCTGGGCTCACAGCTCCCCTGGTCGCTGCTGGGCGAGGGTCATCGCAACTTGAAGAGTGGGACATGACTGAGTTGAGCTGGCTGGAGATGAATTTAATGCCCTGCCTGACCCAACATCGGCCTCGTTGTATGTTTTTCACGAGGTCTGTTGGTTGCGCTCCTAAACCAAACTAAGCTTCCGGTGAATGGAGCTTCATGCATCAACTGTTAATATGGAGGTCGACTTGAGAAGTAATAGTCTAAGTCTGGTATTCAATATCAATAATCGATTTATGAAGCCTGCTCGCGACCTCCCAAGCACCCAATAAACGCAGGTAATATAACCACACCGGGTAC